AAATGCCTTGTCGCCTCTGATTTGTTTGCAAATTTGGATATAGGTTATAATTACCCTCCACTTTAAAATTGGACTTGTGCCGTTGGTTACTTGTTATTTTTAAAAGGTGAAAACTACTCTTACTAGAAAAAAATCATTTAATTGTAAATTCAAGCAATTTGGAATTTTTTATTTATATAGTGACATTGAATTTATATTTCTTAACTGTTTTCATTTTTTATCATATCATCTCTACCCTTATAAAAATCATCTTACCTTCTTTTATGTTCAGTTTGTATAATTTGGATAATAACTGTATGTACGAATCCCTGTGTTTTGTACATTCGACAAAAATATAGTTTCAGTCTCCCACTGAAGTACCGTTAGACTGACAAAAGGGGTTCTAAAATATTCCTATTTTGAATAGTTGGACTAAGAAGCACACATGGTAAATTTTAGTTCTAGTATCTAATACTGTAAACATATGATTTAGAAGAAGAAAAAGATCCTTCAGATGAGGAATGCTACTGGAACTGGGCAGAGTTTGATGAATTGAATAATAGTGACTGTTCTGAGCCTCAGTTACACTTTCATATACAGTTACCATTTGTTTCTGATATCTTTCTTTATTAGTGACTGGAAATCGTTATTACTTTCAATTGTTGTTTCTATTCCAGTCTCACAAGTACTTTTGGCTACCAAATCTCCTTTTTTATTCCCGGTAATACCTGCATGTCACTTGACGCAAAAGAATTTAATATTTTTTTTATATTTACCTATGTATAAACCATAGTTTATATCTAATGTGTAGTTTATATAGTTTTTAAACTGTTTAGTTGGATAATTGAAATCAATGCATTTTTCTTAATTGGGTTTTTGACATATGAATCAAGCGCATTATTTACTACCAAAACTAAAATTGTATTAATATTTAAAATCTAGTACTCGACTACGTATTGGATGGACTGTAAAATAAATGTAAAACCCACACTTTTCTCTCTTTTGAATCCATCTGTGTAAATGTATTATATATCATTGCTAGCGCATTCTCGTAAGACGGATTTTACAAAACCGTTATTTATATTTTGAAAATTAGAATAGTTAAAGAATATATTTATTTATTACACACATTGGTAGAGGTAATAGATTTTAACAAGAGCTATGAGTGCCGATTTAGTACACAAGTTATTTACAAGGTCACAGCTCTTGTCAAAATCCATTATAAATCCATTATACCTTTATCAACATAGGCATCATCCAGTGACGGAGCATTCTTTTTTTTCAGCAAGGATTTGCAACGTTCGCGGGATAATGATCGCTATGCTGCAGAAATGCATAATTATTCTATATTTGATTAATCATTAGTTTACTAAATATTGTTATCAACCACATAAAGATAGCTTTTCTGCTTTGGCTAAAATTGAATGATTTGGTGACGACTTCAATGAATGTAACATATTTTGAAAGATTTAACTTACGGAAGTTAGTGTTTGAGAACGAACCATATTATTTACACCTATAATCTACTAAAGACCGAATATAAGCTTTGTAAAACAAGAGCGAAGTCTACGTCAGATCATCGCTATTTTTATATAGAGATAACTTTAATTGCATTCATCCCTTTCTCACATCTTGTTTTTAGTGTACATGTCTAGACCATAATAATTTTTTGTTCAAAACAATACCCAAATATTCGTAAAGATCAACAATACGTCTAGAATTTCAAATACTCGTAAAGAAAATAAAATGGATGCTAAAAAATGGATTTTGCAAAAGCTGAGAGATTTGCAGAACAATTGCAGAACGGTACGCAGAAAACATCATTAACAGGCGAAGAAATCAAAATTTAAATGAAGAATGCCAGACCGATATAGACTCCCATTGGACCAGATTAAATGTAAAATTGTATGTAAATGTAAAATATAGAAAATCTCAATAGAGATAAAGAATTCAGAGCATTCTAGAAGAGAACATCAACAGAAAAAAATTCAAGGCAATCATAAGACAATGCAGAAGTCAAAATTGCGACCTATTAACAACAAGGAAAGATGTATTGAATAGATGGGTGAAATACTTTAACCAGGCACTTAATATAGAGAAAGAAAAAGGAAACTTGGAAGACGAAAGAGATGTGATAAAGGAAACAGACGAGAGGAAAGAGGAACCACCAACGATTTTTGAAGTTAAAGATGCAATTAAAAAACTAGCCAGAAACAAATCACCCGAAATAGATAATCTCCCAGCTGAACAATTGGAATACTTTAGACCATATACAAAAAAGGATATATCTTTGAATGCTCTAACCACAAAGGAATTACGCTTCTAAATGCAGCATAAAATATTTTCCAGAGTAGGTACTATGTCATCGTATGGCATCGTATGCAGACTGGATACTAGGAAAATACCAGGCTGGTTTTAGAGGTGGTAAATCGACAATTCATCAGATTGCAACCCTTAAACAAATTTTGGAAAACACACTGGAATATGGCATTGATACTTATTACATATTTATAGACTACAAAGCAGCCTACGATTCTGTGAATAGAAGAGAAATGTTCAAAGCAATGAAAGAGCTAGGAATACCAAATCAGTTGATAAATTTAACAAAACTAATTCTTGAAAAGTTGAATGTAGAGTACGATCTCAGGGGGAACTGTCTGAACCTTATAAAACAAATAACGGGCTGCGCCAGGAAGTCCATCCCTCCTGTATACTGTTCAATCTGGCTCTGGAAAAAGCAATATGTATATTATAAATCACAACCAATATATAATAAATCAGTGCAAATCCTGGCTTATGCTGATGATATCAATATTGTTGGGAGAACGGAAAATGCTGTACGAGAGGTCTATGTAGCATTAAAAGAATCAGCTACAAAAATGGTTTAATAAATGGAAAAGGTTTAAAAATAAACACCAACAAAACGAACTGTATGAAAATAAGCACGCAGCTACAAATACAAATACTATGACCACCAGTTTTAAAAAATGACGTCATCGAAGCAGTGAACGAATTTGTATACCTGGGAGCGCTTCAACACTGAAAATAATACTACCGGATAGATGAACCGCAGAATTTGTATAGCCAACAGATGCTATTTTCACCTCAATCTCCACCTTAAATCCTCAATTGTATTGAGAAATACAAAAATAAAACTCTAAAAAACAATAATTCTTGATAGACCCATTGGTCAGAAAAGAAGAGGAAGACCTAGAACAAGGTTCCTTGATAAGATCGATGAAATAATTACTATTTAAATGGGAATAGGCCACAATTAAAGGTTAAGGTAAGTTTATTGACGTTTCAACTTCCACTTCGGAAATCGTTCTCAAAATACAAACATTAGCTTCAGAACAATGTAAACATCAATGAAGACATGAGAAATATGGAAATACGTGCTTGGCGGAGAAAGGCGATGGAAAGGGACGACTGGAGAGAAATTCTTGAGAAGGCTAGGACCCACGTAGGGTTGTAGAGCCAGGATGATGACAATCAACTAAATTCTCAAAAATAATATCTTGCTTCAAGGTTATCAATATCTAGTATGTATAATTTATACTACTATTGAGAAAGGCTTATGACTTCTATACCAAGGTGTATATGGGAGGCGATGTACACTTCTATGGGAGGCGATGTACAAATTAGAAATAGAGACGGAACTCATAGAAGCTACAAAAGCTCTGTATAAAGAAAATCAAGTGCATTAAAGTGGGAACAAGAGTTATTCCATATCTTTAACACTATTCAAAATATACTTATAGAAAGCATTGACTACACGGAAAGGAAAATGCGAAGGCATGGGCGTACCGGTACGGAACGAATACATATATACGTTAAGCTTTGCAGACGATCAAGTAGTGATTACACAAGACCAAGACGACCTTAATACATGATGAATAAACTACAAGAAGAATATACCAAGGCTGGCCTAGATGTTAACCTCGCAAAACAGAGTACCTATCTACAAGTGAAGAAGACATAGAAGATCTACAGATTGATGACAAAATAACAATCACAGAAAATGATAAATTCAAATATTTGGGGTTTATAATCACGAAAAAGGCAACAACAGAGGAAGAAATTACACAAAGATTAGGACAAACAAGAACAGCAATAATCTCAGAACTTAACTCAGTATGGTGAGATAGAAACCTAAACATGAAGACAAAAAACACAGATTCATAAAACATTAGTGCAAAGTATTATGACATATGGGGCTGAAAATTGGATTATAAATAAGAAAAACAGCAGTAAGATAGTAGGAACAGAGATGTAATGCCTGCGAAGATGCTGCAGAGTAACAAGAAGGAGAAGAAGTAATGACGAAATAAAGCAAAGAACATTAACAGACACAGACATACTAACATATTTAGAACATAAAAGACTAAAGTGTTATCGACATGTAGAAAGAACTAGCGATAGCAGATGGATACAGCGAATAACCGAATGGAGCCCTATATGAAGGAGGAAAAGAGGACGACCCCGAAGATCCTGAGGGAACGAAGTAGACGACGCCATGAGTAAGAGAGGCCTAAACACCAGAGAGAGATGGAAACAGTTGAGCGAGGAAAGGCAGTGAATACTGTAGAATCCCTGAATATATAAAATAATTTACACTACATACATGAAAAATCCTTAACCATTAAAATAAAACATTTCCATCGTATAACAAAAGTTTTTTTTACATTCAGAAAACCAACACGTAATGTATTTTGTGATATTTTGCATGTTAAAATCAAAAAAGCTATGAATGAAAAAATAAATCAAGAACTTAAAGATCATTGTGCTTTAGCTGTTGATATAGATATGCAGCAGTTCTTAAAAATATTTTGATAGAAAAGATCTGTTAAAGAGACTTGTTTTGATAAATACCTATATAAATATTAGTTGTTCTGATAATATGGGTCAAGGTTAAAATCTTTAAACAATAAATGAAATTCTACTGATTTGATTTGGTATATGGGTAATTCCATTAATTTAACACCTACTACTTTAAATATTTTGCTAGAAAAACTAAATATATGCATTTATTGTTAAAAAATTTCATTTTTTTTTTCGTTGAAAACTAGATATATAAAGCAATGCAGATATTGGAAAGACAAATATTCAACAACTCGCTTGAAACTTAATGCCAGATACAACCTACACGACAAAATGAAATTCTTTATTGTTTTCGCTTGTGCTTTAGCAGCAGCAGTGGTAAGATATTTTTATATTATTTAACATTTTTTAAGCCCCGATTATTTTAATGATTGTTAATAATTTTTATTTTTATTTGAACCATAGTGTTTTATTTTTCATTTATTACTTATTTTTATAATTTGCATTTGTGAATATTAAAACGTAATTTAAGGATTTAATTTTTATTAACTGTTGTTTAATATAGTAAATTGTTTTCTTCAAACGTTGGAGACGTTTGGAGGAGGTGGAGAAACTGGAGCCAATTTATGCAAACCCTTTTATTGGTAGAGAGCTTATTACCTGTAAGCGGGGGCCATTTCATGTGCACCCTTGGAAGTTGTTTAGTTCATTGTAACTTTTTAAACTGTGGTATACAACCAACCACTGAGATTTTTGCTTATATGAACCTACCACACCAATGATTTTCTATTTAACATTTTTTCCTTTTCCAAATTTTGAACTTTTTAAATGTTACATCACATTTTTCTAAAACTAATTTAGTATTACTGTACTTTATATCTTCGTTTAGGTTCTTCGTTTATAACCTAAATGAAGAAATAGTAGATACATTAACACAAGCTCAGGAAAAATTTGGCCCTAAACATGGAAAAGAACAAAAAATTAGTAGAAAAACGAAACAAAAAATGGAAGATCGTAGAATGATGAGAAGTCAAGGAAATGTTGACTCACAAGATATAAACAGCATTAATAAAGAACTCTCTAAAGCCATCAGACGGGATATTAGAAAATACAACAACGAGAAAATTATAGGAAGACAACAAAAGCATGAAAGCATTGAGGAGAAAAATGGAAAATGGCAAAAAAGGAATATTCCAAACTTAAAGCCAAAAATCGAAATATTATCTCAGATAGATCAAGCATATTACATATAGTGGAAAGTTTCTATGAAACATTATATAAAAGTCAAGTTATTCCAGAGCTCATCGAACAACCAATACAAAAAGGTACATAATGTAGGATCGGAGGATATACCAGATATATCACGAGAGGAAATTCAACATGCCCTCAAAAATATGAAAAATAAATAGAGCTTCAGGGGAAGATGGTGTAGTCATTGAGACAAATAAACTAGGAGGTCCACTTTTGATGTTCCGAATCCAAACACTTTTTAATCTATGTCTGCATAGTGAAAACATTCCAACTAAATGGACGAATTCGGTTACAATCCTCCACCACAAAAAGGGGATAAATGAGATCTCGAAAACTATAGGCCAATTAATTTCCTTAACCACCTATACAAGCTCTTTACTTGAATACTGGCAAACAGATTAGAAGCAAAACTCGATTTCGATCAATCAGAAGAACAGGCAGGATTTCGAGCGGGACACGGAACAAAGGACCATTAGCAATGCCTTAAAACTCTAGTTTAAAAGTCTATCGAATATAACAGACCCCTTGCCCTTATCTTTGTGGACTTTCACAAAACATTTGACACAGTCGAAACAGTTGCTATCTTAAAAGCACTATCAGAATGCAGAATAGATCACAGGTATGCAAATATTATTCGAAATATATACGAAAATGCGACAACAACCGTTAACCTCCATTGCATGACTGAGAAGATAAAAAATTGGCAGAGGGGTGCGGCAGGGAGATACCTTGTCGCCAAAACTATTTATAACAGTTATGGAGTACGCATTTAAACGGCTAGAGTGGGAATCAAAGGGTATTAGCATCGATGGAAAGATATTCAATCATCTCAGATATGCAGATGATATTGTTCTCATAACAGACAACTTAGGAGAAGCCAGAGTTATGCTACAACAACTACAGCAAGTAACCCAGAAAGTCGGTTTAAAAAATAAACTATGGAAAAACAAAAATGATGACCAATCTCATCCCCAATGAGCTAATAGAAATCGAAAAGTCGTCCATAGAACTTTTGGAAAAATATGTGTATTTGGGTCACGAAATAAGGTTAACGCGAGATAACCAAACATGCGAGCTACTCAGAAGAATAAGTCTGGGTTGGGCTGCATTCGGAAAAATGAGAGACGTATGTAAAACAAATATACCGATCCATTTAAAAAGAAAAGCTTTTAACCAGTGCGTTTTACCAGTCCTCACATACGGAGCAGAAACCTTAACTCATCAACACAAAAACATCAGCCGAAAAATTGAGGACACAACGAAAGATGGAGAGTTCAATGCTTGGAATTAGCTTAAGAAATAGAATAAGAAACGAGGAAGTTCGTAGACGAACCGGAGTCGGAGACATTATCGAACATATTACAAGGCAAAAATGGAGATGGGCAGGACATGTTGCAAGAATGAAAGACGAAAGTTGGACAAAAAATTGCTTGAGTGGAGACCACGGGCTGACAAGCGAAGCCGAGGAAGACCCCAACGCTATGGACCGACGACCTCAAAAGAATCGTGACCAATTGGATAGCAGAGGCGCAGAACAGAAGCAGATGGAAAAATCTAGAGGAGGCCTATGTTCAACAATGGACAACTCAGGGCTGATTGATGATGATGATGATTATGTACTTGATATCATGATAGTACAGGCATTTTAACATTCAGCTTATTTTGCTGAACCTACAACATTGAGGAATTTTTAGGTCCATTTTTTTTATTAAATAAGGTTATTTTATTATTTTTTAAACTGACTACTATTTCGATTATTACATTCATGTTATACACTTTGATTTCACACTTTGACTTAAAAAGGTGTGTTAGCTGTTGCCCTGAGATACCAGAGTTTTGTAACATTATTGCTATAAATTGGTTGCATTGATCCTGTAATGATCTTTTTTCAAGTATTCAACTTTTTCAACTTCCTTAGCTAACCTTAGATTAGCTGTGCATAATTGATAACGACCAACGAGTCAGAAATACGGTTGTCTTTCACCTGTTATGCTTTTTGTTTGTTTACATTTGCTTTTACAGATAAATAGTTGTACGCTTCTCTCATCAGGTCGTCTATGATCTTCATTTATCTTCTCCTACTACTTCCTATATCTCGATTCAGTAGATTTTTTAGATTGTATCGTTATTACTTCGACATTTAGTAATAAACTATAATAATAACTATCTTAGTATATGCCCTCCTTTTGGCATCAATAAAATGCTACACCTAGGGTTTCCTTGACATTTTGATTTTCAGTCTTATCCTTGTTGTCACTTCATCCATCTATTTAATAATTCTCTTTTTGGCCACAAATGTTGCTTCTTCTTCTTTCACAACATAATATTATTGTATTTATTATTTTTTGTCAAAACCGCTTTTATCATTCAGTCTTATCCTCCAATCCAATCGCCTTACCTAAATTTATAACAGTGTTCGCTATTTTAAGCTGCTAATAACAGCGGTTTAATATTTCAAAATTTTATATTGAAATATATTTTTCATAATAATGAATATATAATAAACATATTATAATAAATAATAATTTACGTTTCAGGCTAGCCATTTACCAAATCTGCCCGAAAACGAAAGAATTAAATTAGCTAAAGTACATGCAGATTGTCAAGCTGATCCAAAAACCTATGAAAATGAAGATAAATTAAGAAACCTTCAAAATAACATTGATGACCATCAAGTAGGTGTCCATATGTTTTGCATGGCTGTAAAATCAGGCTTATTGAAGAGCAACGGAGACTTTGATATTCCTGCTATTACCAGCAAAGTTTCCCTGGTGATTAAAGATCATTCCAAGGTTGATGGACTCGTCCAAAAATGTGCCAAAAAATCAGACAACTCAGGAAAAACCGCCAACTTGTTGTTCCTATGCTTCGTTCAGAACGATATTCAATATTACCATAATTTGTAAATTTGATAATATACTAAATTGAACCTGTAACTAAATTATATTAAATAAAAAAAATATGCTAACGATAAAATGATTTAAAAAATATATAAAATATAAAAGTGCCTATTAGCCGTAGGATACGGGAATGTATATATACACTGTGTGTCAGCCAAATGGATTAAATTAGCTACTTAATAAAAAAATAAGGGGTATTCGAAAAAACAGTCGAACACGTCGATTATTATTTATAATTGCGTATTTTTTGCATACAAAATTTTTATACGAGGTGTATCAGATAACAGTGCCAATTCCAACATACTTATTTTAAATAGAACACCTTATATATTAATTAATTTTTACATTCCTCAGATCATTTTAGATATTTTTTAAATACAATGTCCTATACCTATCTTTAACTGTTTCAAAAATATTAAGTAAAATGCAAAAGTTCACATTAAGAAAAGAAAATTATCTATTTGCCGAAAGTCGCTACAACATATTATTCAAAAACTTCTAAATAATATAAATCTAAACAATAATGTCAATGTGGGAGATATTCAAAATGCTCCCCACGAACGTCTTCACAACACCCTAACCGCGAATAGATATTTCTTCTAATAGCGGCAATTTTGCTGATTAGTATGACCGTGAAGAGTAAATGTGTACTCAGAAAACAAAACATATTCTAATTGGATCACATTGGAACGTAAAAATACGTTCTCCTGTCAAAATTATCTTCCATGAGCTCCATTTTATAATGATGGATTTTGTTTTTTTGTAAGATTCGAATATCCGATGAATAGTTCATATCGAATGCTGGGTATAGCTCATAGTATTAAAAGGACACATCTCGAAAATTAGGGTTTCGGATTTTTTGGCATAAATGGGCACAAAACTACTAGTACTACAACTTGGCCTGAACAGAAATTGAAAACAGAGAATATAAAGCAAGTCCCGATATAATGTGACCCTTTCGTACTCCCCTCTCCGCCAACACATCTTCCCGCGAGATAGGCCCATTCAGTAAGGTGCCGATGTCTGTCCAAGCAGGTCTGTTAGTGATCACTCCCATTACGAGTTGAGCCCTTCTATTACAAAACTTGAGGCACGTGTTGTTTTATATTTTTTGTTTTATAAATACGCATTAAGATTAAATGCTGTATATTACTAAAATTTCCGAAAATTTATGGGTTTATTTAAAGAAAGTTCTTTATATTACTAAAATTATTGTATGATTTTTGGAACTATATCTAAAGGATTCTTGTTATTACAAAAATATCTGTTTGATTTACAACATCATTGAAAGTTAAATCCTTGTAATACTAAAATAATTCAACGAGGTTCTTAGTTGTGTACATAAACTACAAAGTTTTTCTGTACTAAGGCCTTAATTGTTATTATTATTTTATGTACTAACAAGTATTAAATAAGATGGTAATTATATCTTAACCTCTTACAGATACATTGCAAAAAAATTGAAGAAATATGTCATCACGATCGCGAAGAATTATGAACCTTCTAAATGTTTCACATCCACCTGATCAATGAGAAAACAGTTGCGATAAGGACCCAAACGTAAGTTTATAATTTACTAACATATAAACTACTTTCATATTATTTTGCAATTTTAGGTCAGCAATGAAGAAAAAGAGAACATCCCTTTAAGTTCATCAGAAAACGTTTTAAAGCAAGAAGAAATAGCCGATAATACTCTGCCATTACAAAATAATTCTTTGGTTGAGACTAACATTGTTACTGCAACAACATCAAAACCTTCGTCGAGATCGTCATCTAGTAGTTCCAGTTCGTCTTCTAGCGTCAACAGTAGCACTTCGTCATCTTCTAGCAGCAGCTCTTCGTCTCGATGTTGTTCACTGGAACGAGGACGAATTGTTTGCCATATCCTAAAAGGTACAGAAATTGAAGCCCAGTCTCAGTCTTTATCATCTAGAACTACTTCACCTTCAATACTAGAATCCGTAATTTTAACACCACGAACTCTAGCTGTACATTACCGTATATCGCCAATGAATTTAGAAGAGATTGATGCTGATAGTAGTGACAATGATCCCACTTATAATGAACATCAAGGTAAAAAACGTTCGCCAAGCTCATCTTCAAGTTTCTCTGATGATGGTATTTCTGAAGTAGTTGCAACATCGCCCAGGAGATCGAAGAAACGTAAAGCTGATCCTACTAAATGGGAGCAAAATAACCAAAAGATAAAACGAAATGCAGGAGAACAATATATTTCTACTAAGACTAAAAACGTTATTCCTGCGCGTCAAATGAAGAGTCCATGCAATCAGAAATGCAGACTGAAATACAGCGAAAATTTTGATGGGGCTAAAAGACTTCAACATTTCAAATATTTTTGGGCACTAGGAGATTTGCAGTTACAGCGTATGTTTATAAAAGCAATATTGGCCATAGTTGAAACTAAATATAAGTATTCAAACGCTCAACAACCCAGAGCACCAAATGCTGCTTTCTACTTGTACGCTGATAATGCCAAAATCAGAGTCTGCAAAACATTTTTTATCAATACGTTGGGAATAACAAGTAAAATGATTCGCACAGTAAGATATATATATATATATATATATATATATATATATATATATATATATATATATATATATATCTTACTGTGCGAATCATTTTACTTGTTATTCCCAACGTATTGATAAAAAATGTTTTTTATATGTATATATATATACAATATATACCGGGTGGTGAAATCGTCAAACGGGCCATAGGAAACTCAATGCGAAATTTTAAATTGTTGAATTGCTGCTTCCCTAATTATTTTAGATCAAAAGTCATAAAAAACTATTTGTATAGGACTAAAATCTGAATTAAAAACAAATGTTAAAACCGTTCTACGAATCAAATGTACTTCAAAATTTTGCAAAAATATAATAGATTTTTCAGACCACCCCTAAAAGTTAGGCCACACGTAATACAAGAATATATAACGAGTGTGTTTTATCATATTGATGTCAGATGTTTGACAATTTGAATTGTCAATTTTTTTTGTTTTATGATTAAATTATAAACAATGAATTTTACTAAATACTACTACTACTGAACAATATTACTTTGTGAACAATAAATTATATTGTTTAAAAATCGATCAATATAATGAAATGTACTCAGTTGACGAAAAATCGCATAAAGTTGTATTCAGGCAATAGCGCGAACCTTTTCCTGTCACTACCGGATCTTTATTTAACGTAAGATATTCTAATACACTAAAATTTAATTCCACGTTAAGTTAAGTTATACAACAATTCAATGAATTCCAATATACTGTTACTGTGATCTTTATTCCTAAAAATGATTTATGATAATTTCTAAACATAAAACTATAACAAATGTTATAATAAAACATGAATAAAACATTTTTATTATTGCTCATTTCTGCTTAACTGAGTACATTTTTTAATCAACTTAATATTTTTTTAAACAATAAATCACAAAATAATAATATTGGCCATTTAAGTCATAGATAAATATAATATAGTTGATTTAAATATTGTCAAATATTAGAAACGTCAATATGACAAAACGCAACACGTAATACACATTTTTTTCACGACGTCTGGCCTGACTTTTAGGGGTGGCCTGAAAAATGTATTATATTTTAGCAAAATTTTGGAATACGTTTAAGTCGTAGAAGAATTTTAACAATTGTTTTCGATACATATTTGAGTCCTCTACAAATAGTTTCTCATGACTTTTGGTGTAAAATAATTAGGGAAGCAGGAATTCAACAATTTAGAATTTCCCATTGACCTATGGCCCGTTTGACGATTCACCACCCTGTATATATATATATATAATATATATATATATATATATATATATTATATATTATATATTATATATACAAGGTGGTCCAGAATTATGTACATTAATTTCTAGAGCTCATAGTACGTCCAAAAATAAGGGTACTTCTTGATGTACACTTTTTTATAAAACTGAATAATAAGGGAGATACAACCCTTTAAAGGGGTGAATTGAAATTCTTATTTTTTCAAATATCTTCCAAACGGTTTTGAACACGGAGTTCATATTTTGGGAGTGATTATAAGACATTAGGATAATAAATTTCATGTCACCACCTACCACATTCTATATTAATACAGGGTAGTTTTGGAGGGTAAGTGGGGGTTATTGCGTCACATGTTTTTTAATTTTTACATATTTTAAAAAAATATTTTAAAAATTGTTTCCTTAGACTTTTCTACCCAAAAAAGGTGCTCTTGTAATATTTCGATAGATATCACCGTTTTCGATTTATTTAAACTCGAAGGTATACATGTATTTTATTGTAATCGTTACATTTCTTAATATTCATCAAGTATGCTTTGGAATTGACACTTGTGTTAGCAACAACACTTTAATCTCAAGTAGTCTATGAATTGTCAGTGACGTTTAATAACAATTAAATTATTTTATCTACACTTTTATTGTACTCGACAGTGAAATTTGTTTAACACGTCTCTTTTGCTATATTTTTAAATTTGTTTGCCCGCAATATGGCACACTATTCAAATTCTGAGATGACAGACATACTTTTAGTATTAGGTGAATGTTCGGAAAATGCTGCTGCAGCTGTAAGACGCTACAGAGAAAAGTATCCGAACAGAAATATTCCCAATGCCAGGACTTTTGTAAGTACTGAACGACGACTGAGAGAAACCGGTTGTCTTCAAAGAAAGAATACAGATGCTGGTCGTCGTAGAAAAGCAAGAAATGTTCGCGTTGAACAGCAAATATTGGATGCTGTAATAAATGACCCCACATAAGTACACGCAGGTTAGGATTACGAACGAATATTTCCCATCAAAGTGTTTTAAGAGTTCTGCATGAAGAGCAATTACATCCTTACCACTATCGACAGGTGCAGGAATTGTTACCTGACGATATGCCACTTAGAGTTGATTTTTGTGAAGTATTGCAAAATAAAGTTCAAACTGCACCAAATTTTTTAAGCAACATTCTGTTTACAGACGAGGCCATATTTACAAGACAAGGTATGTTCAATTCTAGAAATATGCACTTCTGGGCTGAAGAAAATCCA